AACCCTAAACCCCGAAACCGAACTCTAAACCCTAAACCCTCTTCCCTAAACCCTAAACCCCGAAAACGAACTCTGAACCCTAAACCCTCTTCCCTACACCCTAAACCCTAAACCCTAAACCCTAAACCGAACTCTGCACCGTATCAAGGCTCCGCCCCGACCTCACTGGGACTCCAGTTCCCCAGCAGAGGCCGCTGGGAACTGCCCCGGAACTCGGAACAGGGTTTAGGGTTTAGGGTTTAGGGTTTAGGGTTTAGGGTTTAGGGTTTAGGGTTTAGGGTTTAGGGTTTAGGGTTTAGGGTTTAGGGTTTAGGGTTCAGGGAAGAGGATAAAGGGTTTAGGGAAGAGGGTTTAGGGAAGAAGGAAGAGGGTTGAGGGTTGAGGGTTGAGGGAAGAGGGTTTAGGGTTCAGGGAAGAGGGTTTAGGGTTTGGAATTTAGGGTTTAGGGTTTAAGGAAGGGGGTTAGGGTGTAGGGTTGAGGGTTTAGAATTTAGGGTTGAGGGGTTCAGGGTCTAGGGTTGAGGGCTTAGGTTGTAGGGTTGTGGGTCTGGGGCTTAAGTGTGCAATTTTATGGCTATGAGGGTTTGCGGTTAAATGTTTGCGTGGTAGTTCCGTACACATTCTGTTAACATGAACCCCAACCCAAGTCAACTGTTACTTAAACCAATGTATATATAGCAGCCTAAATAATGCCCAGTAGCATTTTGGGTTCCTTATTGTACTAGCAGTATAACATACCCCAGCACCCTATTCTAATTATTAAGGCCCCTACATTAAGCACTTGCACTAGAAGGCTTGGGTTTTGGATGTACTAGGGCTTAGGGCTTCAGGGCTGTATGGTCAGGGCTTACCTGTGCAATCCCACTGCGTTGTGGATGCAGGTTGGCCCCTCTCCCAGATACCTCTGTACTCTAAGGGCCTAAATACTTACCTATAGTATTTTAGGGGTTCCTGATTATAATTATAGTTCAATGGGCCCAAAAACCCTATTCTAATGATTCAGGCCCCTACATTAAACCCAAAGCAGTCTTCCCTTATCGATTGAGGCCTGAGAACCTCAAGTCCCGAACCCTTTATCATGAACTATAAAGTCCCTGAAACCAAAGCCTAAAAACCATTACAAAGCCCTGCACATGCCTCTCGCCCATCCTTAACCCTAAACCCCAAATCCTGAACCCTGAACCCCAAATCCAGGAGCCTAAATCTCCATACGGAATCGACAACCCAAATTAATAGAACGTCCAATCCCAGAGCCCAGATCTTGGAAGCAGCCGCGCCCGTTAACCCTGAAGCCTAAAACCTTACAGCCCAAAAAACAAATTAAACTGTACAAACACAGAGAATCTCCCCAAAACCCTGCAAGCCCTAAGCCCCAAAAGCCTAAACCCCAAAGCCCCTAAACCCTGAAACCCTGTAAACCCCTTTGAAACCGTAAAAACTTAACACCAAGCCCTAACCCTCTAAAAGCACAGACGCCCTAAAACCGCAGAACCCTGAAGCCCTATAAACCCTACCCCTGTAAACCTAAAGCCCTCGAAACCCTAGCCCTAGAACTCTATATACCCTAACATGCCATAGACCCCAAACTGATAGAAACCCTAAACCCCTGAACCCTTAACCCCTTAAACTTAAACCCCTAAACCCTCAAACCCAAAGACCCTAAACCCAGCAACCCCCCGAGGGCCGCTAGACCCTAAACCCTATAAACCCAAAACCCTTCTAGGGTTTAGGGGTTAGGGTTTAGGGTTTAGGGTTTAAACTTAAGCCCACAAGCCCTCAAACCCAAAGACCCTAACCGCTAATCCCAGTATCCGCTCAACCTCAAGGACCACTAAACCTTAAACCCTATAAACCCTAAGCCCTAAACCCTCAACCCCTAAACCCTAAAAACCTAGATCCCTAAACCCCTAAACCCCTAAACCCCTAGACCCCTTAACCCTTAACCCTAAACCCCTAAACCCCTAACCCCTAAACCCCTAAACCCCTAAACCCTTAAATCCCTAAACCCTAAACCCTCAAACCCCTTATTCACAAGACGCCAGGATTTGCAGTCCGGCGACACGGTGCACAGTAGCAAGGTGCCAGAGGCAGGGTTGCAGTTTGGGTTTAGGATTTCTTCCTTTAGTGGGTCTTAGGTTTTAGGGCTTTAGGGTCTTAGGGTTTAGGGCTTTAGGGTTTTAGGGTTTAGGGTTTAGTTTAGGGTTTAGGGTTTAGGGCCTAGGATTTAGGGCCTAGGATTTAGGGTTTAGTAGTTTAGAGTGTGGGGTTTACTTATTCATGTAGGATTTATAAGTTGGGGTTAGGGGTTTAGGAAGCCCGGTTCGTAAACCCCCCTTCCGTACAGAATCTCATAGGGATCCTAATATGAAGGGCCTCTAAAGAAAGGAGCTTTAGTAGTACTCTGGGGTCTACATACATAGGGGCTTATCTTTCCATACTATGGGGCCTAAAAAATGCGTGTGGTATCAGTTCTTTTTCCAGACCCCCATGTTAGCCGGACCCTGGATGGATAAACTGCGTCATGGTCAGGATCCCTCAAGAACAGAATAATGGTTTAATGTTTAGGGGTTTAGGGTTTAGGGTTTAAGGTTAAGGGTTTAGAGATAATAAGGTATCCGAAAAAAGGCACTACAATCTGGGGTGTAGGTAGGCTGCAGAATCTCGACGTAGGCTTAGGGGCTGGGTAATCTTGTTGTGGCAAGGTCCTGGAGAACGCCTCGTCGCATCGCCTCCATGGAAGGCAGAGCGGAGCTTCCCTTTGAGTCCCGTGATCTTTCACTTGCAGACTTCGCTCCTTTGAGGGTTTGGGGTTTAGGGTTTACGTTTCGGGTTTAGAGTTTAGGTTCTGGGGGTTTAGGGAGATAGGTTTAGGGGTGAGGGTTTTAGGTTTACGTTTAGGGTTTAGAGTTTAGGTTCTGGGGGTTCAGGGACAAGGGTTAAGGGGTGAGGGTTTTGGGTCTGTATGGTTTGGCAAGGGTTTAGGGCTTGGGGCTTGTAGGGTACGGGTTCAGGATAATTTTTTCCGTTCGATGCCAGACATCGACATCTGCAACCTCTACGACGTGTCTGTGTCTGAAGCACATGCGCGCAGGAACCCGACACAAGAAGCTCGGTTCAAGCGGCCTGTGCATCACCTCGTTGAGTCTTCGACTCCTAGACTTCATCATGCCTTCCACCGCCACCGTTGCCATGGCTGGCGTCGGCGCCTTCGCCGCAGCGGGTGCCTTGAGCGGTGCCTTCGTGGCACCTGCCGGGCAGGTGCAGCACAGCGAGCCGCAGATGCAGAGGACCAACCTTCGCGCGGCGGGCTACGGCTCCTCTCAGACTGCCGGTGTTGGTGCTATGGCCGGCCTCGGTGCTGTGGCTGGCCTGGCTGCTGCAGGCGTGGCTGGCAAGCGGGCCAGCAAGGGACGTACCTCCCTTCAGGCCGTGGGCGTCGG